ATGAATGCTTGTGACACCCAGCCCCACATTTGGGGAAGGGATTCTCACCATAAGTCCTGTGAAGAGTGTGAATTTTGCCTTATTTCTGCCCGTTTTGAGACTCCCGTATGTCACATGATTGGGGCTGGTTGGTAAGAAGCCATAGTTGTTGCTCTCTGCACTGGGGACACGGAGAGGGAGCAGCCTGATTTGGGTCCATGGCATCTTGTCTGCCTGCCCTAGTATTTATAGCTATCAGTTGTTTTTCATGAGGCCTCCTCCTCCTCACTGCTTTTTTGTGACTCAGTCGTAAGGATGACTGTTTTACAAAAATAGAGTTGGAAAATAGGTGCGTTTTCAGGGACTTGAACAGGGTGAAATGGATTCACACTTAGGCCCCTAAATCCACTTCTATGTCCAATAGGTAGAATAGATTCTGGCCTTAATTCTGTAATTGTGTAAGTTGTCACGATGCCCCGACCATGACATAAAACTTGATCGAATCACTGTTGCCCCTGGGTCTCGTGCACCTGAATGGGGAAGGGCAGGCAGAGGGCCCTGAGACCCCCTTGGTCTCATGAATCCTTGAGAGAGAGCACTTTTGTGGAGGAGGAGGTCTAGAGCAGGCCAGCCTTTATGTTTCCACAATTCCCAGCTGAGGCAACTAAGGCTTAGTTTACTGTTTCATTCTTAAACAATTAAAAATTAAGGATAGCAAATAAAAATAAGCATGCATAATTCATAAATAATGACAGTAGTTATGCATCCAGCTTATTTAGTCACCTGAATTATTCATCCTCATTGCTGACTACAATTTTGTAGCACTCAGTAATCGTTAAGGGCCATATGCCATCTCCGTTCAGCTTCCGCTTATATCTGGGAGCTGCGTGCACGTGTATTCAAGAAGCATGTGGGTCTTTAAATACAGTAGCAACAAAGGTGCATGATGCAGCCCAGGTTTGCAGGAACATCAGGCAGTCTGCAGGTGCTGGGTGCGTTGCCATGATCTCAGCACCACCGAAACGTGTTACATCTTTGAGAGCGCTTCAGCTGGCCCTGTACGGTTCATCTTGAGGCAGTGGCGGTGTCACAGATGGTTCCTGGCACCAATGCAAGTGCCTCAGCCAGCAAGAGTTGCTTCTTGATCAGCTGAGGTTTAAATATAGGTCTCAAGGTGGAACAGAAACCCAACCTGAAATAATAGCAATTTAAAACTATTTGAGAGTAATTGTTTTAGTACAGTTAACTTCCGTTATGCACCATTGGTGTAATTGGCAGTCATAAAAGTGTGATGTCATAAAATCTTCATGGGACAGTGGTGAGTTTGGTCTTAAAATAAGGAACGATGTGGGACAGTTGAGAAGTACGGTAGCCAGGTCTGCAGAATTGACCTTGGTACCTAAATTCTTAGGGTCAGACCTTGCAAGGCATGGACTATTTTCAGTTCCATTAACATTCAATGAGGAGTCTTGTGAACCCTTTAGTAACTTGGACCACCTTAATTCTTCACAAATAGTGTTGACGAGGGGCAGCCAGCATCTCTTTAATTAACTTTGGTTGTAGCACAAGTGTTTCTGAATTGTCCAAGCAGAAAGAAAACATTATTCTTTTGTTTCCCATCACAGCATTCACACCACAGCTGGCAACGACCCAGTTGCAGGCGAGAGAGTGGGAGAAACTCCTGTTTCAAATGAGGATGGGAGTGATGAACACTCAGCAGATTCTTTGAACGGGGTCAGACAGAACAAGGTGCCATTGGAGAGGGAAGGCGAGATGGCCGGAGAGGGTTTCACTTGCAGCAGAAACTCTGATGTCAGAGAAATAAAAGGAGAAGATACAGATTTTAAGGAAGAGATCATTACAGCTTGCGAGCCTTTGGGAAGTCCTAAGAGAATGTGTGGCAGGAACAAGATAAGCCTTATGAAGCCAAGTTACGTAGTCTTGAAAGATCTCAGGGACGAGTTAAAAGAAAAATATAGATATTCGTTAATGAGCTCAAGTGGCGAGAGACTGTCATTGAACACCCAAAAGGAGAGAGAGACCGTTTTCTCTGACGCGTTACAAATCACTTTGCGTGGGGGTTTAGAAGAAAGCAACACTAAGAAACAAAATAAAGTCCCCAACATTAAGACAGGGGTGCAAAATAAGAATTCAAATAACGCAAAGATCACAGAGATCAGTAGGTCAGAGAAAGGAGTCACTTCCACAGGATCGAATGGTATTGATACGGAGATTCACTGCGCTATTGAAGAAACCCAAGAAAACGGATCACTAGTGGAAATGGACTCTTCAGATTATTCAGATATGTGTGAGCAGGGCATTTTCGCTAAGCTGTCTCTTCTGGAAGACAGGCAGAAGAGTTCCTCAGTGGATGTGTTACGTATACCGGAGGTGTGGGGAGTACAGCCGGATCCTTCCCCTCTCTCCAGCATGACCCCTGAGAAAGAGCAGGAAAAACACGGAAAGGTAGTTCCCATTGAAACGCTTATAAAACACTGGAACAAAACAGATAGGGAGTTAGGGAAGGATAACATATCTGATAGCTCCCTAACAGCGGATTCTAATAGAAAGGGATGTGATTCCAGATGTTCAGGAGGAAACCGGACCAGTCGTATTAGCCAGTCCAGCAGAATTGTTCTGGCACCTGAGAATACTGTTAAGGGTCTTAGAAGAAAGCCGATGGAAGAGACTTCTGCAGATCTATCAGTCAACAAGACTCAGCGCATGCTTGGTGACAAAAAGCTGCGCAAAGCATGTTGTCTCCTCCCTGCTCGTAGTGAAGAAGACAGAAATATCGCAGACCGGGAACCCATTTGCATTTCCTCATCCAGCGCGGCAAAGTACGAAACTCCTGTGAAGCGCGAGCTTTCTCGCACGACGGAGAGCCATCTTGCTCCAGTGGAAAGCCCAGCGCAGAATTCCTTGGAGGAAGCTGAAGAAGTCTTCCACGAGCAGCCGAATGCAGAAGAGCAGAAATCCTGCAACCAAAGAAACTTCAAACCCAGCCGGGAAAGCGATGACGGTTCTTGGTTTCTGAGCAAGATTGCAGAGGAGTTGGAGGCTGCGTGTGTTGATGCTGAGCACAAGTCAGTGCAACAGGACTCTAAAAGGGAGTGTTTCGGTCCTGCTGAGGTTGCTCTGCTATCACAAAGCACGGAGGTGTCTGTGTCTTGGAGAAACAAGGCCAAGCGTTGTTCTCCCTCTGGCATGCAAAGCAACAAGTACCGTGAGATAAGAAGCAGGGCAGCTCTTTTTTCCCCCAAACAGGACAAAGATGAAGAAATTAGCAGTGTAGGAAAGAAAGTGGATCCTGAACCTGCCCAAGAAACGAGGCGTGAAGGGGTAGGTTTATAAATAATATTGTCCCAGGTAATGGTCATGGGGAACATACAGAAAATAGAGCAGCTTATGCTGCCTTGGCTTTACTGCAGTTAGCATCTGGAGCTAAGAACTTGGGTTAGCTTGGCCTGGGTTATTGCATCTTCCTGGGGTTGAACTCATGATTCATCTGTATGTGTCCCTAGAGCTTCCGGGGTCATATCCCATGAGTTTTGCACTGCCATACCCTAAGCCATGGTGTGGGGACAGGCATCACCCAAGAAAGAGTAGTGAAGACATATCATAGCCATCCTCCCATCCCCTGCAATCTTATATCTTGACCGGAGCAGTGGTTCACTCAGTTGCAGGTGGAGCGTTGCACGCTCAGACTGAGTGTGACAAAGATGAAGTGTGACCACGCTGTAGATCACCAGGGGTCATAACTAGCTTACAGGCTTCAGCGGAAATTTTTTCTCCAGCACACAGTACCAGCGATGCAGAAAGATGAGATGGGCATCTTTCACTGAAGTGATTACTCTAAGTGGCCACTTTGAAAGGTTGTAATTTAAGTTTGTCGGTTTAAAAGCAGTCGCTCAGCTGGAGCCAGGATGTTTTAAAAATATGCCTCCACATTTAGAGAAACAGTGTTTGTGATTTCATCTGTGGCACTTCGGTCCATGAGTCCATACCCCAGCTTAGTGCCACGAGGTGTTGTGCCGATGGAAATGTTGTATCTCGTCTGAAGGAATCAGAACTCGTGGTAGAGGTGAGATCTTTTATTAGACCAACTTGATTTTTGCAAAAAATGAAGGATTTTTTTTGGTGCAAAAATTGAGTTGATCTAATAAAAGATATCACCTCCACCACGAGTTCTGATTCCTTTTGCTTCTAGAGCAATATGGCTACAACCTGGATATCTCGTCTGAGATGCAAAAAAAAGTGTTCCAGCTGCTTGTGTATTCAGGGTTTAAAGGAAAAGAATAGGTTTCTTAGTCCTGGTGTTCTCACCATGTTCTCATTAGGATAGCTATATTTTACCTTCTTAAAATTTCCCCTGCGGTTTCATTTGGCTGTCTTTTCCCCCTTATCCTAGACCAGTGGTTCTCAACCTTTTTAGACTCAAGGCACCCTTTGCTAGATCCAAAACGCCCCTTGGAAAATGTCATCTCTTGCTTTCACTCCGTTTATGCCTACTGAAAACTAACAGAGCAGTTCTCCTGTTGCAACAAAACTCAAAGACCAGAGCAGGTCAGGATGTTTTTAACACTGAATTCTTATCTGAAATCTTTGGTTTTAGTTTGTGAATTTTGGTAGCATGCCTAACAATGCTGTTAGGCGTGTGGTCGAAAGGGACCACAATGGATCATCGTGTCCGACCCCCTGCCCCTGGCAGGAAAGAGGACCGAGGTCAGATGACCCCAGCCAGGTGGCTTGATAGTCACCTGGCTGGGGTTATCTGACCTTGGTCCTCTTTCCTGCCAGGGGCAGGGGGTCGGACACGATGATCCATTGTGGTCCCTTCCGACTCTACAATCTATGAATCTATGAATGCTAACATTGCTTAGCACCCTGTGGCACCCTTGAAAGGATATCGAGGTCCCCTGGTTGAGAATCACTGGTCTAGACACTTGTGCTGTGCTTTGCTAAATGGCTGTCCTGGTCCTCCTCAGACGGTGGTTGGGGTGATTTCTGTAGGTATGGCAAGCAGCGCTCTTTGGGAGGAAATGGGTTTTTATTTAATTCTCCCTTTTTCTGGAGAGACTCTTTCCTTGCCTATTCTCCACATTGGGTCTTTTCTCTGCTGGAACAAGATGAGGATTTTCCTCCTTGGATTTCTTCCTGTTTTTTTCCAAATTGTTCCTCCTCTGTAGCAGTTGTAACACGTTTCCTTCGGCTCTAGTCTACGGACAGATGGCTCTTTTGTTTGATTGCTGTTACCAAGCTACTCTGCATAGTTTAACTTGCATCACACTCCCTTTGAAAACTTCAGTCTCAGAAGAGTGGAAGACTGATTCCAGAATTGATTTGTTTTGACCTGTTTTCCTGCATTCTCCTGCATGATTGTACCTTCGGCATATGCTTTGTTCCCCTACCAGTGTGACACTGGTGATGGATTTGCAGGTCTGCTGTGCTTCACATGGGCTACATCATCTTTTTAGGCAGTAGAATAGAAAAGTATTTCATTCTGTAATATATACAATGTAGAATTAATTTGATGAATAACGCGTTGAAAAGGAGAATTTGGTCCTAGGTATCGAGAAGTCCCTGCCGACAACACGCACAAACAAGAAACATTCGGATGCTTATCTTGCTTCAAGAAACATTTGCATGCTTATCTTGCTGGGATACTTTAACCCCAGCTGACTTCCTGCCCCTGGGGCAAGGGGGCTGGACCCGATGATCTGACGGGGTCCGTTCCAGCCCTCATGTCTATAAAACCTATGCAATCAATGAAAATTAAAAACAGAAAAAGAGTCCATGCTATGTTTAGCCATTTTCTACCCAGTTTTCTCACATTCCTGGTAGTGACTCATAAAACCTGCTGCTTTGTGTTTCTCCTGTTTAGCCCGAGGGCCTGGTTGTACAAGTTGTGAACATCTCCTTGAGAGGGTCTGAAACCCTTCCATATCCGTGGCCGTATGCGCTGAGCTCTTTACCGGGAGGGACTTAGACCCTGACGAGAGGTCTTGTCTGCATTTTCCTGAGTTAAATGACTCTCAGTTAAGTAGAGACACTTAGCACATTTGTTAAGGCTGGTCTCGACTCTTCCCAAATGCTTGTTCCAGGTTATGGATGTTTGTAGTCAATCCTCAGCTGAGCCCTAGGGTAGGTGGTTCGTGGAAATTCAAAGGCAGCCCCAACTCATGGCATAAATGATGCTTCTGCAAACAGAGGCAGAAAACCCTGCTTATAAACCCACACCTGGCTAATCTGCAAATGTGGCGTTAGCTGCAGCAGGATCAGAGGCAGATCCACGGCATTTTGCCTCACCCGGGAGACAAACGAGATTTCATCCCAGTTTTTTCTTAGTAGGAAACCCGGTAAGCAATCTCGCCTCCCCAAAACAACCCATCACTATAGCAACTGCTAGGCTACGCCAACGTGCAGGCATAGATATGCAAGCACTAATATAAATGGAGCTGTTTCAGGGGGCAGGAATACATTTGGGTTTGGCAAGGTTAAGAAGTTAGAAGCAAAGGGCATATTTATGACTCTCGGTCGTGCTGGGACTTGTGCTGGGGTTAACGGAAAAGACGAGGTCCAGGGCATGCCGATGTAGATGAAAGGCAGGCGTGCTTACCTGGAGCTAGACGGAGTTGAGTGTACAAGTCTCACAACCGCAGAATCTATAGCTCTTTGGATCGTCCTTCATCTGTAAGCACCAGTATGCTCCGCATTATTGAAACATGAGAGAGCTCTGTCTCCTTTGAAGAAAACCTGTTCGCAGTCTCGATGAAACAAGCTGCGTTTTGCTGGTGTGCATGGAAAATGATCCTCTCCGAGGCTGCAAGACACATGGGAGTAAACCTTGGGGCTGCTTTGCCTATCACCTGAAACACCTGTGGCACATGTCACTAACGGCACGGGCCGGCTCTGGCGTATGGCACATGGCTGATCGGGGAAGGGGATTGGAGTGGCCCTCAGGGTGGGTGCGGGGCTAGTTTTGGCACACCTGCCATAAAGGTTGGCTCCCACCGATCTAAAATATCACTTGCCACTCGCAGCTCTGACCTGCCCCTCTTGGAGCTGGGCCCTGTGATGCTGTGTCTCGTGTTTTGCGACCGATTCGTTAAGGATCTGATATCAGAGAGGCATCTTGCACGGCACAGCTAGCAACGGACTCGATTGGGTTCAAATATGAGCGGGTAACCTGTCTCTTCTCTTTCTGTCCAAGGAGGAAGAGGACACTTTGGTTCATCAGCTGAAGGGCGTGCAAATTGTGTGTTACGTACGTTTGCCTTTCCAGCATTATTATCTTCTTCGCATTCGATTTTTCAGTGAAACCAGTAGAGGTTGATTCATAGCATCATAGAAAATGAGGGTGGGAAGGGACCTCAGGAGGTCACATGTAGCCCATCCCCTTGCTCAAAGCAGGACCAGCCCCAAGTAGATCATCTAGGCCTTGTTTCCAACGGGAGTCTGAATCACCCAGATTTTTCTTTGCCAGTTGCTTCCCTGAGCTGCTGCCCCATAGCCAACTCCTCCCCTCAGAGTTGGGAGCTAACTAAAAAGAAAGCACCGATCTGACTTGACAGCCTCTCTTCGGTGCATAACAGCACTTGAACAGTTCAGAAACCTTGATGCATTTTATCATCCTTCTGCTACTACAGCGGTGATAAGGTTGCTGCTTAACAATCCTGCCGTTCTGGGGGTAGAGGACCTCCTGGGAGCCAACGCAATCGGGAGCCAAATTGAAATCACCCACTGGGGAAGAATGAATTCGGCTACCTTCTCCTTCCAAAGATCAGAGGATAGGAATAATTCATTTCCCTCTTCAGAAAAAACGCTTTGCCAGTCAGAGGAGGAGGGACATGCTTGCCCCTTGTTCCCACTCCAGTTGTTCTTGCTGTTGGATAAACCCGGAGGGGAATGGCTCCTATCACATTTGAAAATAGTTGAGATTTCAAAATGTTTTTTTTGTGACAAAATCAAAAGTTTTCCAAGTTTTTGGCAGAAAATATGAGTGATTAAGAACAGGATCAGATGCCTGGCTTTCATGCATTGCCGTTCTGCATCTAAAGAGCTCATTATATGGAAAGCGCCAGTAGACGGTATGCCCATGTGTGGAAGAGAGGCGGCGATGTGGACTAATAATTGCAGATCATTTCCTTTCCCTGTTCTCCCATTCCTCCCTTGGGCATAACAAAAGTGCCGTTCATCTGCTCCCGGCCCGGCTATTGACAGGCTGTTGCGGCTTGTGGGAGACCTGTTGCTCACGCTCAGGTCCTGAAGTGCTCGGGATACTTTTGTGGTTCAGCA